CGCCGAGGGACCGCCATTTCCTGTCCTGTTGCCCCGAGTTCGACGAGACGGACGATCTGGTGGTGGTCCACTTCCTCTCGTTACCCGGCGACGTCAAAGAGTTATTACCGTTGTTGTTGCTGCTGTTGTTGTTGTTGTTGTTGCTGCTGCTGCTGCTGCTGTTGCCCACGGACCATTTCCGATCGTTGGTGGGCGAGGTGACCACCGAGGGCCACTTTCTTTCGTTCGAGGGGGACGCCATCGAGGTGCTCGACCACTTTCGCTCGGAAGAGGTCAACGCCACGCCTGTAGTCGAGGCGAACGAGCGATGATCCGCGGCGTTCAGCTGATCCTCCCGTTGCCTGGCCTTCCACCAGGACGAAGTCGAGGTGAACAGTATGAGGGCGCCTCTGAGCGGGTTCTGATTCTTCGAATTCGTCGCACCCTTGGGCGAGTGTTCCCTGTTATCCTTGATCTTGAGGGACGGATCCCTGTAATTGGCGTCGCACTCGCGGTCGCTGAATGCCGACGCGTCCCTATCCCATATAGCGTTCTTCTGGGCGGCCAATTCCTCCTCGTAGTGGAGTGTCGCGTTCGTGCTACGCAGACGTGGGCGTAACTTCACGAAACCGTAATCGTTGCCGGCGTCTTGTACGGCTTCCAACGCCTCGATGCGATGTTGAACGGCCCCCGCCGACTGTTGGAGGAGGGACGACGCGGCCTGGCCGGGGGTGTATTGGTGCTGGCTGTTGCTCAGCTGGAGGCTCGGCTGTTGGAGAAGCGTCGAGGTCCTCGCCCTGTGCCCCTCGCTCGCGGTACCGCGTTGTAAACAGGAGAAACTCGCCGAGTGTCGCAGGCTCGAGGGTGGATTTCCCGGTTGACTCACTCCCAACATCTTGCCTCTCTTTGATATTCAGTCTTTTTGATCTCGAGCAACGATGGACAGAGAGAGAGAGAGAGGATCGAACAGAGAGAGAGAGAGAGAAAGAGATACTTTTTTCCCTTCTTTCTTCTCTTTGCTCTTTTTTTTTCTTTCTTTTTTTTTTCTTTTTCGTCAGTCTCAGGATGGAACTGGGGACGGAACGATTTTTCTTTAATCGAGCGTCGTTATTACTCTGGCAGTGATAATCCTTTTGGTCTCGATTTTTTTATTCTCTAACGCGCTACGAATCGAATCGCCTCGAGGTGCAACAAACAACTTCTCGTTTGTTCGTGTACGTTGTTCGTTCGTGTACATCCTCTCGATGCTATTCTCGTGAATCGGCAGCCGCCGGACGGCTACATCATCCTCGTCGCTCTCGGTGCCTTTCGTACCGTGCAACGACGGTTCGTACGAAATCTGAAACAGAAAGTAGGAACAGGATAGGGGCTAGCAACTCAAAAGAAAAAAAAAAAAAAAAGAAAGAAAGAAAAGAAAAAAAAAAACGTCTACAACAAATACGAAGCGTCGTGAAGCAACGGCCGTGAAAAAAAAATGAAATGATCGGCGGATGATGGAGGAGTAAAGGACGATGAAGGTTTCGATGGAAAGGAAGAGATTGTGAAATACATTAACGATACGCGATGGATGGATGATCGTGGATTTGAGAAAATCCAGGAGGAGAGAAAAGGAGAAGTGGAACGAAGAATGGAAAAAGAGAGAGAGAGAGAAAGAGAGAAAGAGATTTGAGATTGCAGATCGGTGAAGGATGAAGGTCGTTCTGTGGCCGATGCCTAAGGCCAGGCATCGGGATGTCTATCTAAATGTCCTTCGAAAATTCGATTTTTTTTTTTTTTTTTGAAAAAGAAAGGAAATCTTTGAGAATTCTCCATTTGAAATTTTCATTTCCATCGTATCTCTAATTGTAAATTTTAATTATAATTTTGAAAATTTAAAAATACTACTTTTATTGAGTTTTTTTTTTAAGAAAAATATAATTATCATAATTTTTAGAAATTCAAAAAGTTAATATATTCCATTCGATATTTTAAATTTTATATTTTAAATTTCGAAATTGAGAAATATATATAATTCGATTGAAAAATATTCGAAGGATTTCTAAATTGATAGACACTCATAATTTACACAGTGGTGACAGATATGAGTGATATATACATCGTAAAAGTGTGTCATTTATAGCGACATGCTCGTCAACTAAAAGACCAATGCAGCTACGTTAAAAAGAAGCATTGGAGGACATAAAGTAAAATAAATTCGTGAATAATCATAAGGGTAAAACGGGAAGTGACTCAACGAAAGAAAAATATCAGGGTCGTCTATACAGTGGTGAATTGGTTTGTAATATTAATCTAAATCGTTTCCTACTTAACCGTAGTCTGGACCGTAATTAACGCGATTAACATTGGCTCAAGGACTGATAACCGTTTAAAAATCAGATATACACCCCCGCTCAAAAATCTTGAGGAACAGTTCACACCAAATTCAACTCTGAAGAGATGAAGTATTAAAAAATATAAAGAAATATTTGATAATTTATGATATGGAAAAATAATAAAGGATCGAAATTGATATACATGAAAAAGAAATTTTTATTAAAATTATATTTGAGCGAGACTGTATTTATAATCATGATTTTTGTTATCAATTATATAATTAAAATTAAGCGTTTTATTTATTCAATAAAATGAATAAAAACTGTTGAAATAATATACACCATATTCTTAAATTTAATAACCAATTATATATTTTGAATTAAAAAACGAAAATTGAAGCGAAACGTCCGCATTTAGTTCGTAAAGTTTCACAATTTAGTATGGATCAACGTCATAAGGCAAGGAGTTAACGATGCAATCGTATCGTCGTTGAAAGAACTTTTAAAAAAGAAGGCGAACGAAACACTGTTTAAAAATTTCGCCACTTTTTTTTTAATGGTTAAACGTTATATCGATAGGAGAAACGTTGGTTGTCAAATTTTCAATACAGTATTCGAGCCACGAATATCTCGAATGGTAATTAATAAATTTTTACATGATTTTACATGAATTTGTATTAAAACGTTTGTATTATCCTGATAAATTGATGAATAATTCATTTTAACAATTTAATAATTGTAATTATCGTTTGATATATGCATAAATGAGATTTTAATTGTGATAAATTTTACATTATTTTGTAATGTATATATAATAAAAAACAAAAATGGATTCGATTTGGAGTTGGACTCCAAGGATCTTTGAAAAAAATCGATCAATTATAACAGAGTAGAAATAGTTTAAAAATATATTTAAT